CTCCCACCCCTTTCCGGATTCCGACCATTGACTTATTCATCTTATCACCATCATTTTACTCTTTCTCATGACTTGAGCGCACATTTAAGAAGCTTATACAAGCAGTTGAAAGCAAATAAAAGCATCTAAAAAGCGAAGTGAAGAGACATCCAAAGACAAAAAATGACAAAAAGTGAATCATGTTTCCTAAAGTATATTATCCCACTAACAGTTATTCCCGTTTGACTCATATAGGAAGAAGGCTGGGTAGTATGTCGAGCATTCAGGAAGAAAGCAAGCATGCAACCGAAGAACATGGAGGGATGGGAATCGAGCTATGTTTATGACAGTGAATCTGCAAGTGGTGTGATGGATCCGATAATAATCCATAATAATAATTATAATCATACAAACAGAAACAGCTTCTTCCCAAAGAAATTGCTATGCAAGCAAGAAATCGAATCTGAAGCATTATTGGCGGCTAACTACTCACTTATTACTGATACTTTCCTACAACTCCCTCAACTTGAAAGCCCCTTGTCTACTAAGCGAACCATCTCTATTGTCTCTCAAAACAACAACAATAGTAGCAACTCTACTACTACCACTATTGGGGAGATTAATAATATGAATAAGGCGTCCAAGGTGACAGATTGGAGAGAATTGGACCAGTTCGTGGCTTCACAACTAAGTCAAGATCCAAAAACACTCGACGACCACGATCAATCTCTTAATCGCCATCTTTCGAGCTTTAGCCATACCTCTGATTTAGAGGCATTGTTGCTTTTGCATGGAGGTGATGAGAGAGAAGAGGAGGTCATTGATGCAGGCAAGTTGATAAGTGGTTTCATAAGTACTTCAAGCTCTGCTGATAGTGATAATATTGGCATATGCATATTCGACAAATTGAATCAGGATATCAACTAATAGCAAAATAGAAATACTTTACATCCATATCTTTTATTTTATGCTATTCTATATGTGTGGTGGCCAGATAATGCACCTAAAAATGTATGTATACGGATGTAATACGAATTCTTATTGTAAAATTCACTAATTATGCATACATGATACGTAAATATATAGCATATAGGTTATATTGATTATTACGGAGTACTTATATCCGTATAACTGTATAAGTTATTTCTATCATTTTTTCACAGTAAAATTGAATAGAAGGCTAGGGAGCTGGAAACTCAAAACTTCTCTCTTAGAAAAAGGAAAAGGAAAATTGTTGGATCGTAAAAACGGGGCCCATGGATTGTCTAGCGTGCTGGGCACAAATGTGGTTTATGTTTGGCATGCTTGTCTTTTTCATACGAAGAAGCTAGTACTCGGTATAATACAACAACCCTCTTCCCCAAATGGGAGGCCTAAGCCAAGCATGGACTGTATATATATATTTTGGCCATTAAAAGGTCCTTGCTTGCAATTTCTAAATAGTTAGAGCTACTAGCTAGCTAATGTGGAGCTACAAGGTTTGTAGTTTTGATGAAACTACATAGCTCTACAAAACTATGTAGTTTCACTATACCCAAAGCCACTTTAATTTAATTAAAAAAAAAATTTATTGTTTATTTATTTTTATTTTTTAATTGAATGAAAAAGGTTGTACTCTTTGTTTGGATAGCAAAGAAGGAAAAGAAGGGGAGGGAAAATGGAGGAAGGGAAGGGAAAAGAAAGGGGAGGGGGAGGTGAGCTCCATTTTCCCTCCAAATCTCTTCAATTTTGGAGAGATTATGGTTATTATAGAGAAAGGAAAAATGGATCCCTCCCTCTCTTTCCCCTTCCTTCCCCTAATCTTTTACCCAAACGTACAAGAGATTTTGTCCCCTCCATTTCTGTTCTCTTCTTTTCCTTCCATTTCTTCCTATCCAAACAAAGTGGTAGCTTGCTATTGTGGAGGTTTAAGAATAGAATGTGGCACCCAAAGATACAAGGAGATGTTGTTAGCCATTGTAAATATTCTTATTCACTTTTCAAACAATTTCATTTACTTTTTGAAATATATATATATATATATATATATATATATATATATATATATATATATATATATAAAAGTTTAAGTAAGTTCTAATAATTGTGGGTGCTCTAAGCTGGAAAAAAAAGAATGAAAAGATGTGTAGTTACAAAAATGTCATTAAAGAGACAGGTAAAGTGCAGACCATTCGATGAAAACATGATGGACAATTCATATCAGCTCCTAGTTCTCATGATTTTATGTCTAATATTAATCCACTAAACTCACTATTATTATTACTCTACTAAGGTCCAGTTCACTTCTCCTTAATTTTGCTGAACTAAAATTATTTTTGTAGAACTTAAATTATTTTTATTGAATTGAAATTATTTTTACAGAACTTAAATTATTTGTATTGAACTAATATTAATTTTAATTAATTTAAAATATTAATATTAATATTAATATTAATATTTGAATTGTTTTTTTTGCTGAATTGAAATTATTTTTACTAATTTTCTATTATATTTCTTCTTAAAGTTACAATAAAATAATTTGAGTGAGGTTCAAAGTAACAGAGAGAAATAATAAAATATCGTATAAATTTACCAAATATCAAATATAGAAGTGATGCATTAAAAAAATACAAATTTTTGTATGTGGTTGGCCACATGGTGCGGCAAGGGTTACTTGTAGGGTGTTACTGGTTTTGTCGGGGGGGGGGGTTACTTGCAGGTGTTACTTGTATTCTGGGGACTGGGGTTACTTGTATGGGTCACTACTAGAAATAGGCTAAATTCCGACGGAATTAAACACCCTGAAATCCGTCGGAAATAGGGTTTCCGTCGGAAGCGATTGTCGGAAAAGCATTTGTAGGAAAAATGAACTTTTCCGACGAAAATTCTGTCGGAAACACTATTCCGACGGAATTTCCGATGGATTTAATTCTGAATTTAACCGCGCCACCACCGGCACGGCGTATCACCACCTCCAACCACCAAAAAAACCAACATCAGACACCGCCACAACCACCAACCCCTAACTCGTATCAGCAGTCTAGAACCACCCACAACCACCAGATCTACCACCAAACCCGAAAAAATTAACGAAAAACAAAAAAAAAATTAAAATGAAAACTTAAAACCCGAAAAATTCTTTGAAAACAGAACAAAAAAAAAAGAAAAAAAATAAACAAAAAATGAAACAGACCTACCGCCACCTAAAACCACCGTCGAAACCCACCTAAAACCACCACCGAAACCCACCTAAAACCATTGCCGAAACCCGAAAAAAATTAACAAAAAAAAAGCAGAAAAAAAATAAAAATCCCAACACCCTAAACCCGAACTTCAACAGCCACCATAACGGCATAACCACGTATTTTAGATCTAGTAAACTTGAAAACCGAAAAAAAAAACCCGAACAAAATAAGTTGAAAATCAGAGCAAAAAAACTTACCACAACGATTCAAAAACTTGAAATTGGTCTGAAAATTGGTTGTATAAGGCCAAATTCGACCATGAAAACGCTAGATCTAGCATTTCCATGGTCGAACTTGACCTCAAAACCATAAACGCCGGGAATGTGGTCGGGAATATGGTCGGAAAAGCTTCGTGGGCTAGCTTTGTTAATGAACAACAAATTAAAGGAGATCGAGAGAGGTAAAAAAAAGAGTAGAAAAGGAGATCGAGAGATGAGAGATAAAGAGAGAGGAGAGATAAAGAATGAAGAGAGAGAGAGGGAGTGCGGCGCGGTGATGAGGGAAAGAGGAGAGTGAGGGAGAAAGGGAAACTGAAAGGGGGGGGGGTTTAGTTTTAGGGTTAAGCTATTTATACCAAATTTTCTGCCTTTTAAAATAAATGTGGTCAGATGCTTTCCGACGGAAAATTCCGTCGGAAATTTACGACGGATTTAAAATCCGTCGGAAATTATTTTATTTCTGACGGATTTTTCCGTCGGAACATACTTTCCTACGAATTTCCGTCGGAACTGTTTTTAAATCCGTCAGAAATTTTCGACGGAATTTTATTCCGTCGGAACTTTCCGACATAATTTTTTTCCGTCGGAAATTTTGTGATTTGCGACGGACTTCCGTCGGAATTCGGCCTATTTCTAGTAGTGGGTGTTACTGGTTTTGATCGGGGTTACTTGTAGGGTGTTACTGGTTTTGTCAGGGGTTACTTGTAGGTGTTACTTGTATTTTGAGGTTACTTGTATGAGTGTTACTGATTTTGGTCGGGGTTACTTGTAGGGTGTTACTGGTTTTGTCAGGGGCTACTTATAAGTGTTACTTGTATTATAGGGTTACTTGTATGGGTGTTATTGGTTTTGATCAGGGGTTATTTGTAGGGTATTACTGGTTTGGTATGGGATTTTGTTCTGGAGTTACTTGTAGGAGTTACTCAGAATACAAGTAACCCCTTGATACAAGTAACCCATATAAGTAATCTCATAATACAAGTAACACCCTACAAGTAACCCCAAAATACAAGTAACCCTAGAATACAAGTAACCCTAAAATACAAGTAACTCGTGCCGCACCGTGTGGCTTGCCGCACTGAAAAACCTCTAATTAAAAAAACATCCATAAATGAAAAGTGATGATTAAAAAAAAAAAAAAAAGAGTATTTTTTTTTAAGGTGAAGTGAACATTGCATAACACAAACTAATTACATACTTAAATTAAGATACCATATTCTTATACATTAGGATTTAGCTAACCACTAACAATTAAAAGCAAATACTCCAACAATAACTTATTTGAATTATTTTAATCAAAAATTCTTCATTTAACTTAGAAAAATTTGTTAAAAACCATCTTATAAAAACCAAATTTTGTTGAAAACCATATTTTATTATTATTATTATTATTATTATTATTATTATTTTGTTTTTTTATGTCAAAACACACCTGTTTTAATTTTTTTTTTTTTTTTTTTTTGGTCAAGGCACACCTGTTTAAATTTTTTTTTTTTTTTTTTGTTAAATCCCACCATTTCCCCGGATTCCGACCAATTACTTACATTTCCGACATTGACTAACATATGTACCTCACGTGACCCACTTTTCTTTTATAAGATGGTTTTCAACATTTCCGGCATTGACTAACATGTGTACCTCACGTGATACATGTTAGTCAATGCCGGAAATGTAAGAATTTAAGTTCAAATAAAGGATATAACTTTTCTGTTAAATGGGTCACGTGAAGTGCATATGCTAATCAGCGCCGAAAATGGTAATCAATAGTCGAAATCCGAAAAGTGGTGGATTCAACAAAAAAAAATTTAAAACAGGTGGGCTTTGACAAAATAAAATAAAATAAAATTATAAGATGGTTTTCAACAAGATTTGGTTTTTATAAGATGATTTTCAACTAATTTTCCTTTAACTTATATCCTTTATTTGAACTTAATTTCTTGAAAAAAAAAAAGGTGAATATGTGGTGAATAAAGAAGACGGATACATAAAATTGACAACCATCCCAATTCCCAACAAGATTTATTGATTATGACTAATGTGTTTTTTTTCATCACCCGCCCTTGTGGCTCTCTAAATACAAAAAAAAAAAAATTAAAAATAAATAAATAAATAAATGGTCGATCTAGTGAAATGTGTAGAAATAATATGGGTAAAGTTAAATGGGACCGTCCACATCCGTCATGAGAGTTCGCTTTATAAATCCAAGTAAGATAATCATTCCAATACTTTTCCCTCACTTTTACGTTCGTTTAATGTGAGACAACACTTCTACTCACATATTAAGCAGGCCATTATATTGTCGAACTTCAATACTACCGGACGGGGGACAAATAAAAGGAGTTAAAACACAGTTTCGCTCTAAAATGTGAGTGTGAGAAACAAACAAAAGTATCTCACGTTAAACTTTAATGGCCTGGAATGTGATGTCAAGAACAAAATTAAAGTAAGTGATCCAGTAAGAGATTATGATGGAAGAGTTGACCAAGTTAGGCCTACACTTTCTTTTTATATAACAATCATTAATATATATACTCGTACCACCTTTTTCATCCTATTTGCAGATATACTCTGTTAGAGATATACATATATATCCCGATATTTTATATCTCTCACATACTCGTATTGATTTAAAACTTCCTGATATCTCATATCTCTCACATACTCGTATAAAAACTCTATAAGTAATGGATTTGTAAAAAAGTTTGATTGTGAGATCGAAACAAGATTGATATGTGAAATTGACAATTGGAAATGTTTGGTTGAGAATTTAGAATATGTTGGTTCACTTGGATGTAAGAGGTTTAGAATTAGATATATATATGCAAGTGGTGTGAGGAAAAACGACCACTCCATTTGATTAAAATAATTATTCTCCCCATTTTATCAATGTGACAATATTCTCAATGACACTATTTATTAGTCATGTTCATCTTAATGAATATTAATATTCAATCATATACCACTAATTTATACTTTCTCTGTTTCTTTTTAATTGACACGTTTCTTTAGTCACGTTTGCCAATACAAAAATTTAACCGTTTATATCCTTAATTACATATAAACAAAAATTATAAAATATTGATAATTTGAAATTACATATTGTGACGAATCTAATACGATCCCACATGACTATATTTTTTATCAAGTATAAATCACAAAACACGGTCAAAGAAAAGTGTGTGAATAGTGTTAAAGTCAAAACGTGTCAACTAATAAAAAATACAAAGGTACTATGCAATTGAATAAATTCATTGTCAAAGTAATGTATTGGCAAATGTGTACAATCAAAGTGAATTTCATTAGGGGTGAGCAAAAAATCAGGGTACCTTGAATCGGAACCGAAGTCGTAGGTTTTGAAACCGGAACCGAAACCTGTATAGGAGATTCTGGTTCCGAGTAGAAAAATAGAGAACCTGTAAGGTACCCTGTAATTGATAAAAGTATCACTTAATTTCAAATTATACACTAAGGGTCTGTTCTCTTACGTTAAAATTCAGTTCAGTTCAGCTCAGCTCAGTTCAGTTCAGCTCAGCTCTGTTCAGTTTAGTTCAGTTCAGCTCCTAATTTCCTTCTCTTATAAAATATTCATTTCATTTCAGTTCAGTTCAGTTCAGCTGAGTTCAGCCAATGAGATCCCGTAATTCCAACTTTTTTTAAAATAATAAATTACAATTATAAATATGTATTTATTAAAATTGTTAGACAACTATTATTAGTTTGTTTCAATTGCGAGTAGTAAATATTATACATTAGTGATCAACCAGTTTTTTGTTAATTATCAGGGACAAGGACTCCCAAGTACACAAATTCACTAGTAGAACTTCGTTGCCCAGTCACGAAAGCAACAATTCCGGTTCCCAATTTCCGGGAAACTGTTCAACAGATTTCGATTTTGGTTCCCATTTTGAATTCAATTCCAGGAATTTTAACATAGTACCATCATTGTAAAACGAAGGAAATAACTTTTACCAACTTTTACAACTTGATAATATGATCAATTAATCAAACTAGTCAGCAAAGAGAGGCAAATCTTGTAAATATTAATTAAAATGGGGCGATTAACAAGGAGGCAATTGATCCAAATATATGGAGCATACAAAAAAAATCATAGATAAAGTTAACACATACAGAAGAAGCAAAATAGACGACGAAATTGAAGTTATTTATTTGAATAATTACATAAGGTCTCCATGTCATCAGCACTGACTACAGAGATTAAAATTATGTACAACTCCTGCAGCATATAACATTAAAGTGAAGAGACTAAGCCTTGTTGGGCTTGAGAGACTTTATCGGTTTAAGCAGCTTGGGTTTGGGCGACCTCTTACTCCTCCTAACAGTAAGAGTAGGAGTAGAATTAGATGTAGGAGTAGACTTGGGGGGTTATCAATCTTGCTCACGACTCTAGACTTAGGCTTCCTCCTCCACCTCTTAGTAGTAGTAGTCGTCGTAGCAGTAGTAGAAGTAGTAGGAGGCTTTGATTTGGCTGCGTTAGCTCTTGCAGCCTTGGTCTTTTTGAGGGCCTGAGAAAGCTTGTAGGAGGCTTTGATTTTAATCAAATTGCCCTTGGAAACAGATTTCTTAAGCTGAAAACCCACAATTTTCCTGAAGTTTGAAGGGAGCAGTGCCTTGTGTTTCTGCTCCATGTATTTGGCGATGGCGTAGGGGCTCGATCCTCCCTTTTCATTCAGACCAACGATTGCTTCCTTTATCATCTGCAACATTACATATATCAATTAATACTTGGCATACACCAATTGTAATTCAAACAAAATTAATCACATAAAAAAAGTACCTCAAAGTAAGGAGGATGACAAGGACGCGTATTCTTCAGCTTCCTCCCCATCTTAGTCTCAGGCTTTGAATTAGTTGCCAGAGCTTCCATCTCCGGTGGCTGAGCTTCACTGGACATCCTCTTATATCTTAATTATTCTGAGTATTCTTCTGCTCCCTCCCCATCTTAGTCTTAGGCTTTGTATTTGCGTTACTCCATAATATTTATAGGTACAAAAAATAGGCTGTTATTGGTTAGTGTTTAATCAGATGGATTGATAGCGTGTACATATAAGGGATCAATTACCTACACGTGGATAACTATCTCAACGCTTTTCGAGTTTTCGGTGTGTTTTTGTCTATTAGAACCTTACAAAAATACAAAGTGTGTTTCTGTACGGTTTTTAAGGATTGAATTTTAAGTTCATTACCTTTTACAATCAAATAAAGATGGCCACGTGGACATGAAAAATTGGCACAGGCAACGGGCGGCACGGTCGTTGGCCCGTAGGTTGGCACGCCGGCACGTGGCCAGCTCAGCCCGCCAGACACATATTTATCAATTAACCTATACTAAAAGCGAATTTAAAGTGACATTTGTCACGATGTCATTAAAAAATTTCCCGCCTTTTTTTCCTTTTTTTTTTTTTTTTCCTTTTGCCAAATTTGAATGACATCCATTTTATAACCTACAATAATACTTAATTCAATCATACTCAATTATTTTTTTTTATTATTTTTTTAACATATATTTCATATATTAGGAATGTTTTAGTTACAAATATACTAACATAGATTAAAATTTAAGTATTGAAACATATCATTATCCAAGATTATTACGAGTATAATATTATCAATTTTTTTCCTCCAACTTAAAATTTATTTAAATTAAAAATAGAAAAAATTATTTTGATAGCATACTTTGTATAAATCTTAAACTTTTACATAACGTTTAAAAAAAACAACTGAACAAAATCATTTTATTATACTATACTCCTCAATTTTTTTATAAGTTATAGTTGAATTTGTACATTTGTCCAGACACTAAACTTTTTTTATAAGTTATAGTTGGATTTGTAAATTCAAAAAAAATTGATTTCACCACTATCTAACGAATTTTTTTTCTTTTTTATATCTTAAGAACATATGTAATATTAATAAAAAAAATAAAAAAATTATTATGTAATAAACATTATTTATATTATCAAATTCAAAGAACATATCACAGTATGTATTAAACATTATATCAGAAATAAAAATACATTACACTGACAATCAAACAACATGAACATATGTTCTTTTCACTCATTTTTAGTACAAATATGTTCTTTTTACTTTAAAAATATGCTCGCCTTTTCGCTACAATTGTATGTTCTTAATATTTGTATAATAAGGTCTTTTTGCAAAACGGTTGTACAATGCAATATACCCACGCCTAGGTAACAATTTTGACAATTCTAACATATATCCACTAAGAGTGTTCATTTATTTATTTAATGCATAAATTAGTAATAGAAGTCTAAAGTAGGTGAAAAATTTCAACCACTATATATTTAATTACCAATAAATAAACAAAGAATAATAATTTAACATGTAAGGGTCTGTTCTCATTGACTGAACTCCGCTGAACTGAATATTTTATAAGAAAAAGAAATTAAGAGCTGAGCTGAACTGAGCTAAACTGAATTTCAACGAAAGTGAACAGGCCCTAAGTATACGCTCAACAAATTCAACAATACATGCCGATCATTTTAAACCTCTCAAGGTATTATCATTCAGATCTTTAATTATGAATAGATAGACAAACAAACACACAAATGAAGCACAAAATTTCAATGACAACCGTTGTAAGCAAATTTGACAATATTTCACATAATTCAGTCTTACTATATGAACATCAACCATTTTTATTCATTGATTATAAAGCAACGGAATACTCCCTCTGTCTCATAGTAATCATAACACTATAACCAGCATAAATGTCGATGCACAACTTTGACCATTAACATTTATAATCATATATTACTAAGATAGTATATATAAAGACTAATCCAAAAATATATTACATGACAGTATAATTTTTTGTAAATTGATTAAAAAAAAGTCAAAGTAAACATGAGAATAGTAAAAAAAGTCAAAAGTTATTTGACTATTACAAAATGAAAGAATTATAATTATTGGGATACCCTGTTTTTTTAATAATTGCAACACTAGACCTTGCACAATGTTAGAAAATATCTATTGAAAAGAATTGTTTCTTTTAATTACACCACTTTTCTTCAAAATAATATGACCCAAAAAATACACATTGATACCAAAGATAAAATACTACGTTTAAGCAAAAACAAAGCATCCAATGATCAAGTAAAGTAGGAAACTGAATAAAGAGATGGTTTCTATTATTTTGTCACAGTTAAACTGAAGGCAGCAAATACAGATTGAAAATTGTTGGAACAACTATCGTCAACTTGACCAGTGACCAGAATTGAAAATTGATAAATAATACTGTATTTGATCCCTATATCAGGAAACACAATCCTTATACTCTCTGTATTGCTATTTGTATAGCTTTTTGAATGAAACCGTGAAACCCAAAACATGAACCCACATCACTAGCCTTTTAAAATTAATCTTTCTAAAATACTCTGTATTGCTACTCTATCTTACCTCTCCAAGAACACAGAACAATTCATGTCTAAGAACAAGGTAAAGACGACACCATTTGCTAAAGGCTATTTACCACATCTCATCAGTGGCACTCAAAGACCCAAACAAAGTATACAAAACAGGCCACAAAAGGTGTGGATCCACAATCCAAAATTTCCTTTCAAGGTCAACTTCTCCAAATTTACATTTTTGTTATCCCCGATAACAGGAAAAATACCAAGAATGATGATATGGAAGAAAAAATATGTTACAGGAGATAGACATGAAAATACATGTTCAGCACTTACAAGGACTACCAACTTCCAAGATACACGGCATGTGACACCATTTCAGAGCACAATTATGAGTGTGAAGAACAAGAGGGGTTTTAAACATATGAACAATAGCAGCCAAAGATGAGCAACCAAAAACCTCACAAGACAAAGTCCATCAAAATAAAAAAGATGCAACTCATCTAAGACCTGCCACTTCCATGATTGACAATATAAGAAATGGAACTGATTGCCTGTTACCTCACCAGTATACATAAATAATTACTAGTCAAACTTAACATGTTTAATGTATTTTAACTGTTGCACTAGATAGAAGCTAATCACTTCCAAATAAAAAACAACAGCTCACTTTGGTGTTATTGAATCTCTTCATCAGAACTACAACCAACTACAGTAACTATACTTTTAGACACTGCTTGATACCAGGAAAGCATGCCAATGAAATGCAGTCATCAATAAAGGATACCAAAAGCTGAACTACCAAATCCTAGCTCCAAAAATGAAGAACAGCTTATCAAGTCAAAACCTCAAGAACACAAATCCATGGCTTAGAAAACATAACCTACCTTAATAGCTATGAAAACTTCTCACAGATTAGAAATTCCGATATTACTGAACTCCTTAACTGCCAAAAATAAAGCAGCAATCACATAGAGCTTGCACTGCCAAAAGATGAACTCTTGAATCCAAGAAAATTGGTGAACTACATCTTTGCAAATCTACACTATCAAAAAAGATGAAACCTTAAAATAGCGAATTCCTTCACTAACAAAACACTACATTATTTCTCTGTATGCCATTCTGTAGATCTCTGTTTAACATTTTGATAAAATAGAGCAACCCAATTCGTGTTACCAGCAAAAAATGTTCTCTTCATAGCATCCCAAACTCAGAAAGCTTCAGGCAAAGATGTCAAACATATAGGGAAAAAAAGGCATATAATAAACGCAGCACATATAAACATGAGAAGAACTGACCAGTAACGCCCAAGAAAGCACCTAAAGTATAAAAACTGCTTTTAAGAAAATATCACCTCCCTATAATAACCAAGTTATAGCAAATCCAAAAAAAAAAAAATGGTTTTTCCTAGGTACAAAACACACTTAGCAAACTGTCCATAACCCACAACACCTCACAAAGGTATAATAACCCACCAAAGATAGAACACTACCCACCTCAGCAAGAAACTAATCAACTCCATCCAAGCATCTTCACAATCTGTCAATAACTCACCATGCAAAATCCCATCTCCTTAGAAAAACCCTCATTATGTAAGATCAAAGGCTGGCAGACCCAAATGGTCATCAATTCTCTTGAAACAATAAACTCTTGAAAGGAAGACAACCCATATTCAATTCCATACATAACAGCCAACAACCAAAAAAAAAAGGAAAGGGTAACAGCTGCATGACCAAAAGGTCAGATAGCAAAATAAATCCGAATTCGAGATTGATACATTCAAAAGTTATAAGACTAGGATCCACAAAGCATTACTTTAGCACTGGCACAAGTTTTGCACCCACTCTTTCCAGCCAAAACATTCGTCAGATTTATTCCATAGAAATCCCAAATGCATGAGAAGCTGAGCTTCTAACATTTCTTTCAAATAAGTATGATAACATCATTAACTAGAAACCTTTTCCACAATTCACTCTTCAACATACTCCAAGTTGCGATAGCAGATCCAGAAAGTTAATAAATGATAATTTCAGTCACCACGTATGTAAACCACAAGGCAACTTTATTATCCTCAAACTGCAAACTGCCACTCAAGGCCATTATCTATCAGCTCCTCCTTCATGCTATTTGGTAACGAATCTAGTCCAGAGCCTTCAAAGGAACAAATACACCTAGCCTAGATCAGATAAACCCAGCTTATGATACAGAAGTGATGTCACAAACAAACAACTACACCAAGAAGCGGGTGATGGAGAAAATATATGGATTGAAAGGGAAAAGATGGAGTAATTAGTTAAAGGGGTGGAGTAGGGTAGAAGGAAGTAAGAAACAACAGGTCCCCAACAGCAAGCCTCTAATCCATCAATCAGCCATAGCCAACACCTAAAAATAAGGAACAATAATTTGAAGCCACTCGTGGTTAAAAAGAAAAAAAGCATCACCATTATAAAGGATCCACAATATATAGGTTTAAGTTTACACTAATTACCTTGCTGCTAACTTCAACTAATAGTAATAGCCATGACCTCCTCCATAAGGACGATCCCGACTATTGAAAGAAGAGTGGGGTCGTGCACCATACTGTAAAAAAATTGGATAAAAAGTCAAATACTGATTGCTATTGAAATCATGTACCAAGCAACAAGTTTAGATAATAGATGTCAACTTACATCAGGACCATAATAGCCACTTGAATAGAAACTACTGCCAGCTCCATAAGTATCTGGAGAAAAGAAACGAATGCTCAAGTCAAAAAGTAATCTACAACTTTAAACTTACTACGATTATAAGAGAAATTTGAAGGGGGAAAAGGAGGATTATCCAACAACAACAACAAAGCCTTAGTCCCAAAATGATTTGGGTCGGCTAACATGAATCGCCATAAGGAACCTTACCATATAAAAAGGGACAACACAAGGTATTTAGTTAAAAGAGTTTGATAAAAAGGTGAGTAGAGTGAGAAAAAAGAGCATCCAAAGAAAAAATAGATAAGGTAGTTTTTATAAGAGAATAAAAATAAAATTCAAGAAAGTTTTAAAGTGATGGTTAAAACATTTAGAGTAAAAAACATAAAGGTTTGAGAAAACTTTAGCAAAGGAAATCAAATGGGATAAAACAATACTAGTGAAAAAAAAATTAGTAAGATAAATTTTAAAAAGTACTTGTATAATCATAACACGTCATTGACATGAATATTCTCCTCCCACACCACCCTATCCAACACCATATTTTCCTCAATCCCAAAAGCACTTGAAGGAGGGGAAAGGAGGATTATCCATGACGGAAAAAAAAAATAATAATAATAAAATCTAAAAGATATGTACCTCTGAAGTGAGTACCACGACCTGAACCAGAATAGTCAAAACGAGGACGAATTCGACTTGGCTCCATATATGCAGGATCTTGGTCCTACAAATTATTAAATCTGTAAATTGACTGGGCTGACAACATGTATGAAACAAGATTTTACATCATCAAATAGATCGCTACTTACAGTCATATAAAATGGGCGCTTTAAACCATGGTTGTCATCATAAACATATGGATCATCATATTGCCTACCCATATAAGGTCTTGAATAGCCACCATCGTCAAGTTGGAAAGGCTCTCTCCGTGAAGGAACAGGTCTTGCAAGTCCACGACCAATGTCCCTAGGTCCCCCAAAATTAGGTCTTCCAGCAGGGCCAACTCCAGGTGCCATATGCCCAGCTCTGTAAGGAACTCTTCGCCCTAATGAAAAAAAGAAGCATATCAAGTGCGCAAAGACAACATAAAAGTCTAGGAAGATGTACTCATAGAGGAGCTGATTGTTGGCTAGTGGCTACAAAAGATAGATTAATTACCATAAGGTCCAACAGGCTCATTGAACTGACCACGAGAGGGTCTGCCATACTGAAAATTAGGCCGATTTAATGCAGGTGCTGCACGCCCAAAGCTCCTTCCTACCAACAAGTACATTTAATGTAAGATAGCATACAAAGGGAAAAAGAATCAGAAGACACTGAAAAGCTTAGCCTGCATACCACTAGGTCGGCCAATTCGAAAACCACCGCACATTCCTCCCTTAACAGCTTGAGTTTTAGGCAATGGATTGGAAAGCCTTGCTCTTACTTTTGTCTAAACAATGAGATAGATAAATCAGAACAAAACAGCAGATACTTAAGCTCCATGAAAAGTCAGGCAACAACAAATAAGTTATAGTATTAGTTATTTCACATACTCTTTTGACAATTAAACATGGTTACTACAGATAGGAGGAATAGAATATCTTGCTAAAGTACAACACCAACACCCTGCACAGGAGCATAAAGAAACTAGAGGGGCAACAAACTCAATGTATTGCTATATCTTGTCAAAGCACAGCACCAACACCCTGCACAATATAATAAAGGGACCATACAAAACACATCTATACTATATATTAAAAGGCGTTCCTAAAGAAGTTTAGATGCCACGTGGCGCTCTCTTCAAGGCATTCCTAAAGAAGTTTAGGTGCCACGTGGCGCACCCCTCATTTAATCCAATTTTCACTCCATGTCTAAAAATATGGTTCTTACAAGATTTGAACCAACAACCTCAAGTTAAGTTTCAACCTGTTAGTCACTAAGCTATTACCATATTACATGTCATTCAATAAAAAATAAATATTACTTCCTCCGTTCTTTATTACTTGACCCGCTTTGACTTTTACACTATTCACCACCCCTCCTTTGACCATATTTTGTGAATAATATGTAAGGAAAAATATATTCATGTATGATCTTTTTGGATTCGTCTCAATAAGTACTATCATAACATATAACTTTTATAATTTTTACTTTTGGAAAATTTAAGTTATTGATTGTTAAAGTTTTGCATTGGCAAGCGTGATAAAAGAAACAGGTCAAGTAAAAAAGAAAAGAGGAAGTAATAAAGATTTTTGTCATGGAAATAATGCATTAACTCGAGGCATCGCCAGGGACTAACACTAGTTGACAATCAAACATGGTTACTACAGGATAGGCGGAAAATAATATCTTGCTTAAGTACAACACCAACACCCTGCATGGAAGCATAAAGAAACTAGAGGGGCAACAAACTCAATGTATTACTATATCTTGTCAAAGCACAACACCAACACCATGCATAATACAATAAAGGGACACTACAGGGAATCTGGGATAACAAAATCACGCATCACAAAACATAAGACAGGCAAGAACAAACACTCTAGCACCAAAAAACTAAATAAAATCAGATAGAGCCAACTATAAAATCCAGATAATAATTATGGCTGCTCTCTTTAACAGTTTTTTTTAACCTGGAACTGTTATTTAAGGATTAAATTGAGTTTAACTGGGTTTAAAAATATATATATATGTATAAAAACAGAAGGGTGGGATGTGCATCAAAAAACACCCAAAGGGAGGTAAAAATTTATCATGAGACAGGAGTAAATGCATCAGTTAAGTGTTGTGTAGAGTTGAGTGGGTAGGTTGATTTTTCTAAGTAAGTGGGGGACTAAAAATGTAAAAGATAATTCCAATTCGGGGATTGGTATTCCCTTGCCCACCCTTTGTCCCTATAAACAAACACCCAGTAGGAAGTAGAAAACAAAGAAACATCCACAATTAAGGCGATTCCACAAAATATATAAACATAGGTGAAAAGAAAAACCAGAAACAAAGTTGGAACCAAACCTTTGAGTTTCCATCAACTAACTCCTTACTATTCACATCCTCTATGCAAGCAATGGCAGACTCATGAGCAGTGAAATCAACAAAACCGAAATCTTTACGCTTAGCAGATGACATATTGCGAGCCAGCGTAATACGTTCAATCTCACCATAAACTTTGAAATGCTTCCTAACACGGTCCTCATCCCAGTGAGGAGGAAGCCCATCTACAAAAACTGATTTAACCTTAGCCATCACCTCAGGATCGGGCTCTTGAAGCGGCTCAGCAAAAGCAACCTTAGCAGTCCTCTCAGTGTGGCCAAATATAGCATCTGGCTTCTGAAGCCTCTTATAAGCAAACATTGCATCAGCATGGCAAGCAAACTGAATAAAACAGAATCCACGGCTTAAACCCTCATGGCGAGGGTCTTGGACAAGGGTAATGTTCTCAACACCTTCAACACTATAATCTTTCAGCTTCTGTTTTATCTGCAGAAAGAGATGATAAAAATCATTTTAAAAAATAAAAAACAAAACAAAACAAAAAACATCTCAACAAAAATCACTATTCAAAATAAATTCAGTCTTACCGCTTCCTTAGTCCACGTATTGCAGACATTACCAAGGAATAAGGTGTCATTGTCCTCATTAGGTGCAGTCCCACATCGCTTACCACGTATCTGTTTTACACAATTTATGAAAAGAGAGGCTTAAGAAAGAATAAAGATGGTAAATACGAGTGCTACATAAAAGACACTCTTTGATACGACAAAGAAAACATACAACAGGATTTTTCATTTCTGATAACGCCCGCTTAGCTTGGTCTTTAGTCGCAAACCTCACAAATGCAAAGCCCCTGTTCTTGTTTGTCAAAGTATCCTTCAACAGTCTAACTTCAACCACCTCTCCAACTTTCTCAAAAGTCTTCTTCACATCATCTTCAATAACTTCGCGATCCAGCCCACCAACAAAAATCTCAAGTTCTTTCTTGACCTTGCGCTCCTTGGCTGCGGCTGCCAATTCCTTGTGCTCCACTTCCAGTGCCTTCATTTCATCCCCAGTCTCAGGCTCGTCATCCTCCTGAAGGTCCTCATCCCCAGGCTCCACAAAACCCTCCTCATCACCATACTCCTCGATTCCCCCAGTAGCACAAGCCTCGTCTTGTTTTGATTCAGCAGCCTGTTCATCTGTCTTATCCATTTTGTCACTGTCCCTATTCTTTAGCATATCGTGAACATTTACATTCTCTTTCTTTTGATCATCATCCATGCTATCTGACTTATCACGTACTAGTTTTTCTAGATTGTCTTTTGCTTGTTTGTCGGGATCAGCAGCCTCGTCTTGTTTTGATTCATCATCCTTATCCTCTTTGGGCTCACTTGTATCCTCATTTCCAGCAGAAGATACATCCTCAATAGCCACAACAGGTGACTCTATTCCATCCATTTTTTCTTTGCCCTTATCGTGGGGTTCTCCACCATCTGGAACCTTATCAGTAACTAGCTCCTCTAATTTTAAATCCTTCATAACAAATTCTTCAGATTTTGAAAGATTTACAGCCTTTGCATCTGTGGAATCCGTGACATCAACATTGCTATCGCCAGCCTCACCTGTCTTCACGGACGCTGATGTGCCATCTTTAGCTGAAGCAGGAGTCTTGGGTCTGATCACCCTCTTCTTCACTATTCTCTTTGTCACCTTCTTTGTAGTACCTTTGTTAGTTGGTGATACAACAGCATTTTCAGCTGCATTTGGGAGGGGGAAGGGGGTTAATGAGGAATAAGTACATAAAATAACTCATATATCATGAACTATTCTGAATACATAGAAATAAAGTCCCAGAGTTGTTTGAATGTCGAGCTTTGATAATGGCCATGGAGACGATACCCAGGACCTCAGATCGAATCCCTTCTAATGACTAGAAATCTTAATTCACAGCCACACTCAATCTATCATGCATGCATCATCCAGATATTTATAAATCTCTCCTCTATATAAACAGCGTCGGAAAATTCAATACTTTAATCTCCCCTCATAAAATTTAAAAAAATAAAATAAAATATTAATCTTTGACATCCAAATCCACATAAAAAAAAATAATAGTGATTATAAAATCCGATCATAAAAGAAACTTAAGAGACGAACATCCGCCTATTCCATCACATGCAAAATTAAAAAAAAAAAAAAAAATGTAGATTGAATATACCTGCAGGTTCGGGGTTGAGGTCGGCGGTAGAAGGAGTAGTCTGGGGTTCGGGGTTTCGAGAAGCCGTAGATTTTGGTGTCGACGTCTCCGGCGTGGAATCCACCGGTAGAGAAGGAGGAGTAGGCGTTTTGACAGCGGACTTCTTCGCCGACGGTGGCTTCTTTTGTGATGCCGGCGTTTTTGGGGTATTTGCGTTTCGAGTCCTCATAATTCTGAGGGTCTATCGGATTGATTGGCGTAAAAACAGACCGACAATTTTTTGTTATTAATTAAAGTTGAAACCCTAGAAAGGTCGGGTTTTCTGGACTTTGGAAGGAAGGGTAATTCTTAGTCAATGCTTATTGCTTTATACTGTAATTTATATATGTCTCGAAATCTCTTTCCTCCTCTTCGGTTTTTTTTTTTTTTTTTTTAAATTTAAAATACTGTAATGTTATATGGGTTATCCCCATTTCCTCCGCCTTTTGCTTAATGAGTTTCAACCGAGCTTGAATTCGAGTAATTTATTGATCAACTCGATTTATTTACACCTCCGTCTAGAAGTAATCAACTATGGTACAGTTTGATCTAATCCCAAAAAAAGTGAGTTTTAAGAAACTATTTTAGTTAAAAAAACTAAATTTAATTCGACAAGCCCGCCACTTTTTACGAGTTTTGCCATGAAATTTATTGTTAAGGTCCAACCCAACCCAAATTTATTGTTATCCCTTGTACAATTAGACAATCAGTCTATCTATATGCAATTTCACGCAGTAGCAAAAATTTAAGATCTAATATAAATCTCTCCATAAAAAATTTAAAACAAAACAAATATTTTGACACTACATTTTCCTCAATTTACAATAGACAGATTTGAAGAAATGCCTTCAAAACTCTTTGATTCATAAACAAAAATGGTAATAAAATAATAGCCAACTTTTAGTACATATATATACACAGAGAATTCAACAGGAATTGATAAAATATGGGATGAGAAACCACGGAACGTTTCTACATATCAGCCACGAGACGTTTCTACATATCAGCTACCTCCCAAATTTACCCTATTTCTAGGACCTCTCATGGCAACCCGAAACCTGGCTGAATATCGAGGCTCTTCATCTCTCTTCTTCTCTGACCTGAACTCGTCTCTTGTTCCTTGCCTGCTTACGTGATGTTGAGGGGGTGATTTCTTTGCTCCATCATCATCATAATATAATGGTTCAAGTCCTTGCAAGTCTGGTATGGGAGAATAATCCACAGGCCGCTTTGATTCATCCATTCTCCTGAAAGTAATAGAAATCCTAGAAAGAGCAAAAGGAGAGGAAAAGGGCACTTAAAAGTCATCGCTTAACCAAAAACAAGCTGAAAATAACCATCATACAACACAAATTGAAAGATGAGACAAACAAAACATAGATGGATACCTCTTAGATGGTACTGCAGGAACACAATGCTTGGCAACATCAGCACCATTTCCATTTAATACCATAACCGATCTAAAGGAAGCAACATCAAATATTACCATTTGTACCCATTAAACCATAATAGGTATAACAACACAGAAGACACATCGGAATTAGGAAACTTAATAGTGAATGGACTGCACTTACCCAACGGGCAAGGGTATTGCTATAGCGCCACTAAATTCTCCAGGGGCTTCAATCTTCAAGTCTGTTCCAAATACTATATTGCATTCACTGAGAAAAGAAATAGTACAAAATGGCCGAACAAAATCATGATTATCGATATGTGGAGGTATGCAGTCTCCTTCTTCATAAATGTTGACAATACAGCTGTCAGGAATGCAGGACGGGGGAAGAACATGCCATCTGATCAACCTCTTGATTATCACTTTAAAAAGAGAAGGTAAGGGATCAACTTCTCCGCGTTTCAGAATACCTGGTGGGTTACCATTTTTATCCTGCAATTATCAGTATAGCATTCAATATTTGTGCAAATTTAACACCATATATGCAAGATATATAAGGGCAGTCAAATAGACAGCTTACAGTAGCATAATTATAACAGCAACCAAATTGGATAGTCACACGCCCTTTACCCTTCATCCACTTTCTAGGTGCTGTGTAAGTGCGTTCTGAAGCAACAGCAAACACTAGAAATTAGGAGATTCTACAGAGCAAAGTAGAGATTGTGATCTTTAAAGAGGGAATGAAATTTTATCCCATCAATATATCATAACCTAATTTTATACTCAATGACTAAGCAAAAGAAAACATCATCACAGAACAAAGCCAAATATCACATCTAGAAACAAACTCTTCAATCCTGCAAAGTAGTTTGGCTACATCAGTCAGCTTAGAGTTAATCTTCTTGGCTATCATGCTCTACACAACTACAAATCACAAAAACAAGTATATATTCACTTAGTAAGCAACAAGTAAACAAGCATCATGTTCAAATACATGAAAAGAGAATATTGATACAATCTGGTGTTATGTTCTTCATTAAGACAACATCTAGTCAAACAAACATTCCATTATTTTTATCATGATTCAAATCAAGTAAATCTCTAATTTTAATTTTTTTTTTTTTTTTTTTTTTTACTCCATTTCCCGGTTCCCTTATCCACAGATTCAGAAAGGGAACAAAAAAAAGAACTCATTTGACTTTTGCTATCAGATTTTGCTAATTAAAATATACAATGTATTATAGTTAAAAGTACAATAATATTCAAAGCTAGATTATCTTTTTAAAAAATTTCAAGCAGCCAATGGGGAAAGTATACTTTGATCTGAATCTTAATTCCTAGAGGAAGGCAGGTGGATATTTTAAAGTTTAATCTCTCAAACTCACAAGAATCCACCATCCCTTAAAATAGCTAAAAGAAGGTAAAGAGCTGAATTTCTAGCTCGATATCTCACTTAAGTCTAAAAAGCAACAAACTTATAAAGGCTTTACTCAGTAATTCTGTAATTATAATCCTTTTCTAATCCTTTCCTGATAGTGCTATGATTAAAGCATAAAAAACCAGAAATGAGTAAATTTTTAAATCATCTTTTCAATGCACTAAAAGTGTTTCCTCTTGGATTGAAGTGTCTACAAACATATACTTCCTCCATTTCTTTTTAGTTGACACGTTTCTTTAGTCACGTTTGTCAATGCACAAATTAAATCATTAATATCTTTAATTACTGATAACAAAAAATTATAAAAAGTTGATATTTTGAAAATATACATTGTGACGAATCTAACAAGATCCCACTTAACTATATTTTTCCTTACATATAAATCACAAAACTTGGTCAAAGGGATGTGTGTGAATAATGCTAAAGTCAAAACGTGTCAACTAATAAAAAGCGGAGGTCGTATTTGGTAAAGATTAACCACACTAGTTGATATTTTGGTAGCCCTATTGTAGAGTGTCAAAAGCTATTTTTCTCAAGTTTAGTAACAAAAACTATCAACCACCTCTTGAAATAGAATGCTAGCCCTCCACTAATTCTAATTAAAGGAAACTATTGAACTGCAGATGAAAATATGTTACAGGATGTTGGTAAAGATTGCTTTAAGAAAGCAGAGATTAACAACAAGGCATTGCAAATGGTCCTATAAAAAATACATCCTCTATTTTTATTCACAAACTGTACTTTGACTAATTTTAGTGATTTATAGTTATCAACTTATCATAAAACATAGGGTTTGTTCCGATTTACTGAAAACAACTAAACTAAAATGAATAAAGCTGAAATGAATTGTTTATGAGAGAAGGAAATTAGAAACTGAACTCAACTGATTGGAGCTAAGCTAAGCTAAAATGAAATTAAGCTGAACAAAACAGACCCATAGTTATGTGGGATTTTTTCAACTCATCTCAATATAAAATTTATTAGGCTAATGCTATATGTAGCCCTTAGGCCTACAAATAAGCATTTAATATCTTTCCTAATTTAGTATTTAGAATGCATGACAAAATCACGCGTAAATCAATGTAATTCATGTTATATTTTCATTTTTTTCCATGTTTAGGTTCTTATATGTAGCCCATAAGGCCAATTTATAGCATTTTCTATTTTTTTAATATTCACTTTTTATAATTTTGCAATGTTGATAATTAGAGATATTAACCGATAAAAGTGTGCATTGACATACATTGAAAATAAAAACGTGTCACATAAAAAATAAAAAAAGGAAGTAATAGATAATCTCTAACCTTACCAATCAATGGGTCCAATAAGTGTCAGTACGTTATCTTGTTTAAAAATTGAAGCAAGAGCGAAGGGTCTACTAAAAATTAAGTATAATGCGTAAAGTATATGGAGCAACTAGGAATGGAAATGGATCAAATTAGGGTTAGGCTCTATAGGATTCAATCCAACCGAATTCATAATCAAACCCTATAATCAATTCTAATTCTGGATCCATATCTAACAAGTCCCAATCAGATCCCAGTCAAAGTTTAACTCACTTCCTACATTCAATTACTAGCTTTTAATTTTGTCATTAAAAAGCAAATGAAAATGCAAAATAAACAAATACAACTCTTTGCCATTCGCTCAAAGGATACTCTTTTGAAAGTATCAAATTAAGGTAAGAAAACCCTACATTTGAATAACCTAATCGAGGATAACAATTTACAAGAACACCACATGAAAGTATATAAACCAATAACCAACAATAAACATAAAAAATTTGCTTAAAAGTTAAATTTTGGACATACATTATGCATGTATGTAACCTTTAATGCTTGATGCCATGTGACAACTTAAGAGGCAAAAGATGAGGGAAGGAGGGACAAACGAAGGAACAAAGCCACCATGCAAGTGAAAAGAGAGAAAAAATGCATGTGACAACTATAAAAGGCAAAGGGTGAGGGAAGAAGGGATGTAGGTGAATAGAAAGAGAGAAAAAAAAAATGGTATTTTGGAGGCTTAGGTTGCAAGTGAGAGAAAGAGTGAATTGTTTGCAATAGAATTAAAAAGAAGGTAAAAATGCGTAACCCATACATTATCAGATTCAGTTCCAAAATACTTCGAACACTCATATGAGTAATTCAAATTGAAGTTTGCACATCCTCCAAAATCAACCGAAATATTAGTCTTAAGTCAAACTATATGTTTCAAACTCATATCCGGACTCATTGATTACAAAATTAGATTAGAATTCTGCTTCGAATGGGCTCGAACTAAATTGCACGTCTTGCAAGGCTACAAGAAAACCCTTATGAATAGTACAAGAAAACTCTTATGAATAGTGTGTTGCCAATTATACCCTTTAAAAATGTGAATTTACATAAATACCCTCATTAATGTGTATAATTTTTAAATAGATGTGTGGACAATTATACCCTCTAAAATGTTTATTTATTTATGGATCTTGCTAACGAAAGCCCCGAGGGCGTTAGACAAGCAATTAAAATATTTCCTAAAGTGGTATTAATTTGGGAATGCATGAAAAAATCACAATGTTCATTTTAATTTGATATTTCTACTCTTAATTGTCTTATTGTGGGACGTTTGATAGCTTTTGCCTTTATTTATTACCCTCATTGATAATATTTACCTTTTTTTCCTTACAAAAAAAAAAGATAATTACCTTTTTTTTTTAATTCTTATTAAGAAAAGTGTGTGGAAATTTATACCCCTAAACATATGACTAGCTATGGAGCGCGTTAGCTGTCTTAGTGACATGAAAAGTTTAAGATAATTCTCCAAAAAAAAAAAAATGAAACCCAACTTAAAATAATCACATTAATATTATGGAACACAACTTAAAATTAATAAAAATGTGTCTTTCTAAGTATGGATTTTCTTCTACACTATCTAGCGCTTTTCTACCCAAAGAAACTCTAAAGATCGAAAAATGTCACCAACATTAAGATCGTGTGGTGGAAATATTGCAATAATGGTTTGCCTTCCAACGAATGATTATAGGAGACATAGGACTCACCTCTATCTTTATAGCATACTATTATGGAAAACATTGTCGTTGTTACATCAAACATAGTATTCACCAAAATAATTAATAAATCTTTGGCCATAGTTCTTCCACATAGCTCCTATCCATAACAACCCCCTCCCCCCTTCTCCTTTTATCCATTTCAACTTTAGATGATGGAAATTCAGCTTCTGAATTTTTGTAATGGACTGATATAATTCACACTAACAACCGCAAATTATAGAGAGAGAAGATTGGCTCTTTGGTTAACTAAATAATCTGATCTTTGGTAAATTAATTTATAAAGAAGAAATAAGTAAGATGGAAAACTTGACTAATGGTTGATAATGATGGAAGGTTTACAAAGGATAAGTTAATAGCTTAAGGCTATTACTCTCAATAGTGAGTTGAGCTCACAACTCTCCAAAAGTGACTTGAGGTCACCAACTATCAACAAGTTTCATCCAATATTTGCCTCCTACCTTCTTACCCTTACCCCTCTATTTATACTAAAGACTATTAACCCTAATAAACTAATATAACTAGAATACCCATACTACCCCTCTAGGTTAGTCTATTACAATTTTGTAATCCAAGATCACAACACAAGGCCCTACTTCGCCATTCCAAATCTCTTCATCCAAAAATCAGCATCCTTCCTTCAAGCTTAGGCTCCTAGCCTTAAAAAGAAGGGCTGAAAGGGGCTTTATTTCTCAGGTAGAATAACCTCCTTTGCAGTGATAAAAAATCCGTGGGTGTTATTGACGTTGGAAGCTCGTGTGGAAGGTTCCTTAAATGAGCTCTTCTTTCCTTCTCCAACAACGGCTACAGAGAGGCATACCAACCGGTAAATTTCATAATTGTATTAGGGTACTATACAATCCACTCTTTCTTACTGACTCTTGAATGATGAATCCCTTATCATCCCACCAAAAAAATAAGATTCGTCTTTTCCAAAATGGTGGCCTAGTTTTCTTTACTTCTAAGAAAATGCTAGAGGATTAGAAGTGGGCAAGAGAAAAGGAGGATGAGGAGCCACCCAGTGATAACCATCTCAATCCTTTCTCAAACAAGAAAAACTTATTATACTCTTTGGAAAACCATTTCAACTAAAATAATATACTCTCCATTCCAAGCCAAACAGAGCAAAATCTGAAAACATCGATTCTTATACCAAACCAAGCTCACATCAATGTAACAAATCAATCATTTATCACATACTCCTTAAAGCTGCATGGCGATTGTAGGAAAGATGTTAACAAAGGATCCACAGATTTAAACAAACAAATAAGACAGCAATAGTTTTGGCATCAAGACAAAACCAGCACTACTGCATTAAATAAATAAATAAAAACATTTCTGATTAAACCCTGCATATGATAAAATAAAAATAAAAAACTAAAATCCACGTGGAAAAGCATCAATCATATGCATATACTAATAGCTCAAAGAGAACTTAAGGAAGTTGAGAAGCAAGCACCACTTACCTTTAAGTTCTCCTTTCTTTCCCTTTTCCATCAGATCATAGACACAATCAACTATCCTTTTCTGTTCCACAGCACTAAAAACACCTGTGTGGAGCTCAAGCCCTTGAATAATATTCATGACCTTTCCATTAACCCTCTCAAGGCATATAAAATCTTTCTTTCTTCTCACATTAGTAAATCTTAAATACTCTCTCTGATCCCTCGACAGCTCTGCCTTCCTTCTCGCCAACCCACCCAATTCTCCATTTCCTTTAGGCTTACCCTCCTCGATCACTCCATCCCCTTCAAGTTCATCCTCTTGTGCCATATCTGCCCATGACATTCGAACTCTAGGAGTTTTACTTTCGAAAGGCGCTGAACTGCTATTACTAACTAGTTCCCTTGGAGAGCTATCAGCAAGGGGTGACGACGATTCCGACCCCCCATTCGTGTCATGCGGGTTGGATTCTGCCTCATCTTTCCAACTCCCCAATGAATGAGTATCACAAATATCAACATCTTTATCTTCAAAATCTGGCCTCAAAACCGTGGAAATCTCTCCAGAATTTGAAGGTTCGGCGGCACTATTTTTATCCTTGCATTCTGGAAATAATATCGAGGAAAAATGCAAAAGTGAAAAAATTGAGCAGATTTTACCAAAAATTGTGAAAGAATCACAAAAATCGACCAGCGAAATCATAGATAGTAACTAACCCAAGCCACATTTAACATGAATATGGAAGCAGTAAAATTGACAACGGAGAAAAAAAAAAGGGGGGGGGGGGGAATAGGAGGAGCCAAATGACTAGAATGATGAAATTCAACAATAAGATTGCAAAATCTACTAAATAATTAAGGAGAAACAATGAACATACGAGGAGACAGAGAGAGGATGCGGGAGGAGAGGGTGTGGGTGCAGTGATGACAGAGGTCTCTTGAGAGAAAAGGAAGCCAATTCGATAGAAATTCCGAAGCGATTCGAAGCTCCGAGTCGTCGTATCGGATAAGAAACGGATCGCCGGAACGCTGAGGATCCGTCATCTTGGATGCCGAGTCAACTCGCCGATTTTGTTGTATATTGGAGGAGAAGTGCGAATAGACTAAATGAGAGGGAGAGGAATTCAGAGGATTGTGATTTGTGAGTATCAATCAAAGGAGTAATTTGAATCAGACAGATTACAGCTTCCAACTTTACAAGCCTATAGGCGGTGGAGGTCCCCAACAAATATGGATCGACGCTTAACGCATTAGGGTAATAGACAAATACAAGCCACATTATATCTAGAGTTTTGATGCTTAAATTTAACCAATTCGAGCTTTAATTGATGATAGAGAAGGGTTTATGTGTTCGTCGAAGGTTTGTTCGTGGTTGCTAGGTTCGTGGGTGCGTCGGCGTCGTGGGTTTCGGTTTGTGGGCATCGTGGGTTGGATTGAGGTTTTGATTTCAGTTGCTGCGGGGTACAGTGGTTTTGGGGTTTTGATTAAAGGGTTCGTGGGTGGTGTTGGATGCGTCGGTGTTGGGTAGACTTGGCAAACGGGTCATTCGGGTGGGTATGGGTCGGGTCAAATTCGGGTCAGCAAATGGTCGGGTTTGGGTCGGGTCGGGTCATTTCGGGTTTCGGGTCAAGTTCGGGTCAATAAATTATCGGGTCGGGTTTCGGGTCCATACTTCGGGTCAACTTTGGGTCCGGTCGGGTCACTTTGAGTCGGGTCAGTTTTTGAGTCCATATATCGAGTCAAGTTTGGGTGGGGACAAGTTCGGGTCGGGTCAAGTTCGGGTCGGGTCATTTCAGGTCGGGTCAAGCTCGGGTCGGGTCATTTTGGGTCGATAATTTGAGTCAAGCAATTAAGCTGAAATTAGTAGATTTGTAATTTTTATACGGATTAATTATTAGTTTTTTTAAAAAAAAAAATAGGAAATATAGTTGTGTGTGTTAATATCATTGTTATTGTTGTCATCATTATAATAATAATAACAATAATATTATTATTATAATTATTAATTTATTATATATCAAAAATAGAAAAAATCATACAACCTACAAACAATTAGTGGGAAACCAAGATACAATATGGGCCCCTACTCCTCTAGGCTCTAGCTACATCAAACTCAATTATTTATTTATTTATTTATTTATAATACTCCCTTTGTTTTTATTTATATACTCCATTTTCATTGTACATTTATGCAATAATGCAGATGAGTGCAAAACTTTGACATAAATTTTGTAATTATCAATAAGTATACAAATAAAATAGTTGAATCTTAACAAACTATTCAATGTGACAATCTTATTATCTCAATAAGTATTTACAAAGTAGAGTTTAGTAGATTATATTTTTTCTTATGAGTAAATCACTAACATTGATTATAAACTCAAATTATAATATAGTATGAAATCCCAACTTAGATGTAAAAAGGAAAAAGAAAGTTATAGTTAAGCACTTAAAAAAAAAAAAAAAAAAAAAAAAAAAAAAAAAAAAGCAAAGTGGGTAACAATAGCAATACACAAAGTCTTATATGTGGTTGGTCACACCACGGGGCAAGGGTTACTTGGTCAGTGTAATAGGGGTTACTTGGTCAGTGTAAAGGGGTTGCTTGGTCAATATTATGGGGTTACTCAATTAGTGTTAGTAATAGGGGTTACTCGTCAGTATTATAGGGGTTACTTGGCCAATTTTATAGGGGTTACTTTATTCTTTATAAGTGGTCACAGGGTATGGCTAGCCACACACAAGACGAGCTGATAACAATAAGCGTCATCTCTAATTAAGTGGAACTAATTATGAATTAAAAAAAAAAACATGTTATTATCTAGTGTTGGGTGGTAGTGCTGGGTAGTTGTGTTGGGTGGTGGTGCTAGGTTCGGTGCTGGGTGGTCGATGCTATGGAGGGTTCGTGGGGTGGTGTAGGGTGTGTCGGTGGTGCTGGGTGGTTTTGGTGACGCTGGGTGGTGGTGGTGGTTGGTTTTGGTTGCTGGTTGGTGGTGTGGGTGGTGGTGGGGTACTTAATTTAATTAAAGTTGAGTTTGTTTTTCCTTTTTTTTTGTTGGATTAATAGTTAAACATATACCCTTATTTTTCCATAATCATGCTTTCCATCTTTTGCCTCGGCCTCCGCAAACTTGTACTTTGTTGCGAGTAATCCAAAATGGAGGGAGTAATTTTACATAACTAGATAATTAGGGGTCATTTGGTCGAATCATTTGGATTGGATTGGAATGAAGTTAGCATCCATTTCATCTAACTTTTTGTTTGGTTGAGATTTTTAGTAATGGAATCTCATACCCAAGAGGTTCTAACTTTCATACCCATGGAATCAAATACTCACCCCTAGGGGTGTAAATGAACCAAGCCGATCAATAACATACTCGGGTACGAGCTTGGTTGAAGCTCGTTCGTGTTCATTTATTTAATAAATGAGCCGAGTTTGAACAAATTTTGAAGCTTGTTTAATAAATGAGATTGGACACGAACATAGATAAGCTCGTTCAGATATGTTCATGAACAACTCGTTTATTTATTTACGTGAGCTACTGGGTTATTTATGTTCATGAATTATTGATTTATTCACATTTGTTAATTTAATTCTTATGTTTATACAGTGTGATTAAGATTTAATTATTATGCTACTTTTGAGATTTTCAAATGTCAAAAGTACGAACCTCATTTATTATAAAAGCTAGTTTATTATTAAGCCCGTTCATGAATTACTCATTTATCAATTCATTTAATAAATGAGATGTTCACGAATCGTTCGTGAACATACATTGTAATAAATGAGCTGAGCTTGAACAAATTTTTGAGCTCGCTTAAAAGCTCGGCATCGTGCTCGGACTCGCCAAATTTAAATGAACAGAACATGAACAAGGTAGTACTCGGCTCGACTCATTTACACCTCTACTCACCCCTCCCCCTAAGATTCACAATTCATTATATTAATAAAGGATATAATCCATTACAATAATAAAACCAAACAACTTTAATCCATTCTATTAATGAAGGATATAATCCATTACAATAATCCACGTGGATGGAGTATATATTAATATGTGTGTTTCTATTAGTGTTTTTAAAGTTTGACTATAAAACGTTTAAATGAGACTATTAAATTGAAATGAATGGAGTATCTCTTTTCAGTAAGTCAAACTGATACACTTTAAAAATACAAAGAGTAGGTTTTATTTATGATCTGATGGGTGTTAGTTATGTAGGAGTTTAGGATGGGAGTGAGATTTTTAGTCCTAGTTGGAAGAAAATCCCATGTGTTGTTGGGTTTGAGAATAAAGATGAGAATTTGATTAAAACCCTCTATTCCCAACAAAATTACCAAAAAGGCAATTATTAGGAATGTGATTTGAGAAAGGGTGAGAAATGGCAAAAATGCTATTAATAATTAGGTAAGAATAAATAAAACCAAACAACTTTTTAAAAAAACTTTGTAATGTAATTAGTTTATCGGTTTGTATTTCTAATTGGAACATGAATTTTATTGTTTATTTTACACTTTGTATTAGAATACAACATTGATTTAAAATTTATTAAATAGATAGTGGTTAACATGTAATCGTACCGTTAAGGAACGGTTAATCGTACCATTAAGGAACGACTCTCATTTTTTTTAGTTTTCGACATAACGGTTAACCGTATTGTTAAGGCTAAACGGTACGATTAACCTATTATGCCCATCCCTACATGGCGGGATCATGTCCTCCCATTGTGTTTTAATATGCTATGGGCCTGTTCACATTTACTGAATTGAGCTTAACTGAACTGAACTGATAGGAGCTAAACTGAACTGAATTAATTGGAGCTGAACTGAACTGAGCTAAAATGACTATTTTATGAGAGAAGGAAATTGAGAGTTGAACTGAACTGATTGAAGCTGAATTGAAATGACATATGTATGTATAGATATTTACTCTCTTTATATCTCGAAAAATTTGCAAATTGCAGCCATTTAAAGTTCGTATTTTGCAAATTGCAGCCATTTAAATTTTTTTTTGCAAATTGCAGCCCAAAAGTTCATATAAATTGTAAATTGCAGCCCGATTCAATTTTTTCATCGGTTTACAGGTTCAAAAATCTTCGGTTATGGTTTTAGGGGTCATTTTAGCCCTTAGGGGCCCGAAGTGAGCCGGAATTAGCAAAAAAAATAACGTAAGTATCTCGTTTTGTGTAACATAAATGTATCGATTTGTGGGAAATTGTAAATATGAGACGCTTACGTTATTTTTTTGCTAATTCCGAGCTCAATTCGGGTCCTTAAGGACTAATATGACCCCTAAAACCTTAACTGAGAATTTTTCAACATGTAAACCGATGAAAAAATTGAATCAGGATACAATTTACAATTTATATAAACTTTTGGACTGCAATTTACAAAAAAAAATTTAAATGACTGCAATTTACAAAATATAAACTTTAAATAGCTGCAATTTGCAAATTTTCCTTATATCTCTAATCTCTAAATTTTCATTTCCACCTACCAAACACCACATGAGAGTTCTAAATTTTCATTCCATTTATCTAGTCCGTTGCCCATGACTTTCTAATTTCTAGTCCCTCCACCAACTCTCCGACCCTTTTCTCTCTTCTGTTAAGGTTTGAGATGAATCGGAAGGCAAAAATAAGAACCATAACTGCATTAATATCTCATTTTCTTTTACTCATTCTCGCCGGGTTTCTTTTTCCGGCTCCGGCAAAGAGCATCCGGCTCCCGGATCGAATGCCGGAATTGACACCTCCCGCCAACCAGCCCTTGAAAACCGCCGTGTTTGCTCTCGGTAGTTTCTGGAGATCTGATGCTATTTTTGGTTGCTTGAATGGTGTGGTTCGCACCACCGTCGGCTACTCCGGTGGCTCTAAGTCTAATCCTGAGTATCGCAGTTTGTCCGATCACGCTGAATCTGTACAGGTCCTTTTCTTCCTTTTTATCTGTCATCTTCTCATAATTTTTACTTCGTGTATTTAAATATTTTTTTGTTTAATGTTTGTGGTATATAATTATGTTTGGGTATTGGATATTTATTTTGTAAAGACTTAGCTTCCTCCAATAATTTGACATTCTGTCCATGCTCGAGGACCAGCAAAATCTAAGCCCAACCTTTGACATTAATGGACAATCAACCCAAATTCAATCCAATCAAACCAAATTATCTGACAACCAAGACAGCAATAGGGCAGTAGTAAAATCACAATAATACCAACAATAATCG